ACCTACGCGTGCATAGTAATAAACAAATAAATAAATAAAATTACCATGTCAATCCCCGGAGCTCATCAGTGAGTTGGGATTGGCGAAATAAAGACACAGGGGAAAGACGAATAAACCCTGATGTACTGACGTACAAATTATCATGCAGAGGAGCATGCAATGAAATTAATTGTATATTACTAAAATGAATATAAATTGATAATAATATGCAAAACTTTTATGAAATTAAAAAAGGTGGAAATGTTTGTAGCTGTCCACTGAAAGCAATAACTCATTGATTGAGTATTCCTTTTCACTAGTTTATTAACATTTTTATAATTATTAGCCATTGAGAATTTATAACATATAAACTTATTTTTATAAATGTGCTTAACTATTGTAGTTGCTTGGACGTACCACAAAATTTGTTGGAAAAAAACATTTCGGCATCTCAATAGAAGAGATGGATACTACCTTATTGTGCCAGGCTTCGCCATTCCTCACGACTCGACTTCCTTCTCGAAGAATCATAGCAAGTGTGCTCAGGTTAACATGGACACCCAGATTCCTGAAAATTTTTGTAATCTCTAAACTGTTTATCCTTCAAAACGTGCCGCGTTGACTTGGATGCGCAGCGCACAGATGAAGCGTGAAAAGAGCTCTTGGGCGTGGAAGTTCATAAACATATTTCAGTATGACTCGCATTTTTTTGCTGGTGATTTTTTTTCATAAAATGCTTTTTGGTAGTGAAATAACTTCATAGAACCATTGTTTTCCTTTCTTGCCGAGCCAATGAATGGTTTGATTTAGGTCGATTTTTATTTACGGAGACCTGCTGTGACCGTGGAGCTCAATTCATCCCCTCAAAATGTCGTAGAACATTCTCGTGTACACACGGAAATTTCGGTCAGTCATCGTTCAAAAGAAAAATTCCTGTAAAAAACAAAATGATATGGGCAACGAGTAGTCGCTTTTATACCACTAGATTTCCTCTTTCAAATGAATGCTTAAGTACCTCGGGAGTTTTGGACACAGCCGAATGGGGTGAAGCTAAATGTGGTGCGACATTTATAATGCAACAACCTAATACATTAAGATACAATGAAGTCCTCATTATAACCATTTGCTAGTAACTCTCTCTTATGAACTCTGTTACTTTATCAGTAAATGTGTCAAACATGGAACAAGTGTTGGCGTTTTAGTGTATATAACGGGGCTTTTATTTTTCATGGAGATATTTGTGTCATTATGTGGAAATCTAATAACCTTGAATTGAAAATCATCCGTTTTGTTATACAGTCTAGTTATAACATTTATCGATTATTATATTAGGTTGTCTCATAAGTAGTGGCGCATTTTTTCAAACGGAAATTTTTCTTGTGAACCTCTAATGTTTTACAATGTTTCATATACCATTCGATAGGAAATTATCTGCTCTACAAGAAGGTATGTACCCTTTTTTTGATTGTTGCAAATTGTTTGAGTTTTAGGCATGCAAAGTGGGAGCTTCAGACGACGAATTTTCGCCAAACCGACAGCTGACCTAAACTTTATACTTCCCTAGAAGAAATCAATCAATAATGTAACTATAACTTACTCATAACCTCTACTAAACATTCCACATTTAGGTTCCCTAAAAGCTTGTCTCGTTAATTTTGAGATTTAGTTATTCCAGTGCAACTCGGTGGTTGCCTGTCAACCCATAGGGCTTCCTTCAGACTGATATTTTTCCATTCCAATTCCTCAGTATTGACGCTACTTTATACACCTCTAGGAAGCGTTTCTTCTGCTCTACTTACCCGCATGCAGAATTTTGGTTTTGATTTCAATCCTGGTCGAGTTTCAGCATAGAAAATGGTGGTATGTCAAGTCGACGAAAAGGAACACTTCCGGCACCTTCTGCTGTTCACCTTCAACCAAGGATCGAGTGCCACAAAAGCCGGCAGGCAACCACCGAGTTGCACTGGAATAACTAAATCTCAAAATTAAACGAGACAAGCTTTTAGGGAACCTAAATGTGGAATGTTTAGTAGAGGTTATGAGTAAGTTATAGTTACATTATTGATTGATTTCTTCTAGGGAAGTATAAAGTTTAGGTCAGCTGTCGGTTTGGCGAAAATTCGTCGTCTGAAGCTCCCACTTTGCATGCCTAAAACTCAAACAATTTGCAACAATCAAAAAAGGGTACATACCTTCTTGTAGAGCAGATAATTTCCTATCGAATGGTATATGAAACATTGTAAAACATTAGAGGTTCACAAGAAAAATTTCCGTTTGAAAAAATGCGCCACTACTTATGAGACAACCTAATACGTATTGTTAATCGAGGTCAATACTGGATGCTATAACTTAAGTATAAGTTTTCTCCATCCGCAAGTGTATCCCTATAAACAACGATGAATCGGTGCCTGCTATCAGGCAAGCCACTGGTTGACTGATCTCTACAATATAAAAGCACAGGCTATCGGAGGGCTGTGTAGGTGTGCTCCGAAGAACTTCATCGAGGTGAATCTTCCTCTAGATAAGTGAGAAACCCCCTATAGCATGTCATATTAGAAAGCGCAGTGTTGCTTATCTGCAAGCATAATTTATTCTGAGTGGGAGAGCGTTTAGAACTGTAGTAGTGAAGCAGAAGGCCTCGACAGGCATGTCGATCACACAAAGTTCACTCGAAGTGAGATAGCGCTCAGCTATGAACGCTTTCTTTTCGAACTTGTCCTTTTTAATGCCATATTTCGGACACCCTAAAGCTAGAAGCAATACTAGCAAAAAATCTGGAAGGTAGATGAGCTGAGCTGATTTGGGTGCAGTTCCCTCAATGGTACCAAAAAGACTATGCTGTCGGAAGAGGCTAACGAGGCATATCAATCCCGATCACAGGGACTAAGAAAAAAGAAGAGAATAAAAAACAAACACAGTAAAAAATGCAATAAAAAACAGAATAGTAGAAAGCTGGATTCATCTGGTAAGGCAGGACAGTAATGAGAGAAAAATATGAGTCTAACCTTGACTGGTTCATATATCTAGTTCAGGGGGCACATAGAAGAAAGCCGCCAGACTAGGCAAGTAAGCAAACCAGCCCTTTTGGCGTTTCTGCTGGGGCCGTATGGCTGAATGTTGGGGAGGGGATAGGGTCCCCGACGGTCGACGGACTACTTCTAACTCGGTCCTGTGAAACCTGCCTCAATTTGATGCTTACCTCAGGACTGAGCCTTAAAGAGAAATTCCCACACAGATCCGTCCTCTCTTCAAGGCTTAGTCTCTGGAGTAAGCAAACCAGCCCTTTTGGCGGAGCTGCTGGACCTAGCTGCACCACTTCGTCATCACTCTCCTACCGTACCGACCGAGTTCAAGTAGTCCGTCGACCTCGGGGACCCCATCCCCTCCCCAACATTCAGCATACGGCCCCAGCAGAAACGCCAAAAGGCTGGTTTGCTTTTCTCCAAAGATTGGATCATCCTCCATGCGAGAACACGGCCTCCCGCCACCGGTTTCGATATCTTGTCTGCGTCGCAGTGTTGATGCCTATGGCTCGAGCTCAGTCGACTCGGACCTCTCAACAAAGTGAATTCTTTTCACTCTCTGCGACTTACACTACCTCTGATCTCGTTGTCTTCCTATTAGACTTCTTTGAAGTTTCGAGTGAAGAGGTCCCCATTTCTGGTATTCTTGATGATATCCTTTCCTTATTTACCACTTGCGATTCACTCCGCACCAGGGTCAACCGTCACGTTCGCACTTTTCAAAAACTTTGCCACCCCCCCCCCACTACCATCAGTCTTAGAAGGCTTCCCCACTACAATACGACCCCCTTCCCCTTTCTCCGACCACCATCCCCACTGTTTTGGCTCTTTCTTTGGTATTTGATTCTGAGACTAGTCTACACAGCCAATTCTGCCCACCATTTCCTCCAAAACACGACTTCCGTCAACCTTCGTTCCCACTATGATAACCTTGCTCAACGCCAAAACCCTCTCGTTCGAATAGTGCGAACGGACAGCTTACATAATTCGCACCCATACCTTCATTACAGTGGAATTATCACGTCAATTCGATCCCGGACACATTGCCTCTAGGAGGTTACCCACACTTCTTATCCTAGCACTTTCCCAGCTCACTTCATTAGAACTCTACCACAGTTGTAGCTGCTGAATCTTCAACCCAGCCAACTGGCTGTTACGTCACTATCTGCACAACAAATAATATTAATGTGTTTATCTTCAATATCATATGGGAAGTAGACATAATTAACGAGTGAAGCACGACCCACCGGCGTATGATAAAAAGAAATTCGATTAACAACACATCCCTCAGCAATCATACCCGTCAACATGAAACTCTTCACAAAAACACTGCTCCTCTGGCAGTGCTCTTAATTTTCTTACAAAATTGCAACCACTAAACTTATTTTCGTATCGAAAACAGTAAACAATCGATAACTTCTAAATAGACATGAAAACAAAAAACTAATTAAGAAGTAAATAATAAGGACAGGAGATACATACACAAGAAATTATTACAGAATAGCTAACAATTAACTGTACAACCCTAATTTACTATGACATGGAGTGTATAGCTCAATTAGTTTATAGGTTACTTATACTAATTAAAATTAGTTCGAGTGTTATTAAAAACGCCAAAATGGCTTATGGCACAATATATTATAGTGCTTCTCAGGCAGCACCCATACTCAAAGCTTCTAGTCGCCTCCCACGTAAAGTAAGCACATTGATTGCAGCCGAGTGCTGCTGCCGACGCAAACACCCAGTGGACCAATGTCTCCGATACCCTGGCTGCAACTCTCCGAGTATAGACGTAGCATAAGCGCAGCGGACCAAAAACCTGCGGTTTTCTTAAAATCCACATTTGCGGCGTTTCACCCTGCAGTGAAAATTACCACCACAACCCGCTTACGCGTGACTGCCCAAGCAAAAGCACCATTTGTTAAGGTAAGGTACGACTTTGATCTGATTGATTCCTACATGTATTGATAGGAAGGACGATTCTCAGAAGAATCTGCTCTAGACTAGAATGTCAGTGTCGCTGGGTTCAGGTTCGCCATCGTACTCTTTACTTGACGTCCGTTGGCGACGTGCAGGCACGAAGAGCCGATCGGCTCCATCTCCCTCAGAATCTGATGAATTCGACCTTACATCAGCTCCAGCACTGCATCCAGTTGCTGTCACGCCACTGCCACTGCGAGATACAGGGTACTGTTTTCGGCTGAAACACACCAAACATTAGACCAATCAAACTTTACTTACACTATAAACTGTTCCAAGCACCCATCAAAGCCACAGCTGTTGCAGAAGAGGACGAGTATTACAACGCCGGTATTTATTGGTGAGTTCTGATGCTCATACAAATTTATGAGATGCTTCGTTCATACTTTGTGCTCTGCTGGAGATAGGGACAGTCAGAGGCAAAGGCGTAAATACTTATCGATTGGTGATGCCATCCCTCCCAATGCAGAGGATGGAGTCTCCCATAGAACAACTTGTCTGTAAGCAATTCCTCAAGCGATTATACTCCATATCTCGAAGTCTGATTAGGCGTGGCTCTGGGTTTGACGTGGCGGCCGCCGCTTGATAGAAGTTGCGCGATAAGCTGCTTCCAGCATGCTTTGCTGATATCCAGCGGAGTATGTTAGAAACAGCCTATCCACACGGCTTCTATCAAGTGCGGCGACGGCCACGTCAAATCCACAGACACGCCTAATCTGACTTTGAGGTATGAACTGTAAATGGGTGGAAGGAAAAGAGAAAGCGAGGGAGAGGAGCTCACCGGTAGCGCGGACGCGAGCGTGTGCTGGTGACGTCATAGAGATAATGAGCGTGGCGAGAAAACGAAAAATGGCTTAGCACACGCGCTACGGCTTTAGCAACCGTTTTATCTATATGTATCAAATTAATACTTGAACTGGAAGTAGGTTACAGGGGGTCAATACCAGTGAACGCAGTAATTCAGCTAGGATATTTCAACTAATGTCTATACTTTTCAAGACTTGCTGCTTTCAAGTGTTATAGATCAAAAATCTGCATCTTTTTGGAGTATCCACGTTCACCAACTTCCCCATGCTGTTGTGCTGTTGTATCGTGCGAAGGAACATTTTCCTCCACAAAAACTGCCTTACCTGGAAGTAGGCGTACCACCTGATCCAGCGTGTCGTCTACCTTGACTTTTACCACGGGATGTCACTCGTGACGATGACGGAAAGTGACGCACCGGAGAACAACAGGCATCACGACGCCTAAATCCGTTACGCTCATATCGTCCAAACGCCATCAAAGGAATATTGGTGTATCCGGAAAGTGTGCTCGCAATTAGAAAACGCATACAATGGAGAAGGTGCCTGCTTTTCGAGACACTTCTAACATTTTAACGCACCTACCCTGAATCAGTGTGACCTTCAACGCCTGACAGTCCGGAATCAGCCTCTTCTGAGTTATTAGAGCATCCAACATTTTGGTCTTGCTCTGCCTGTTCAGCCTCTTCTGCCTGCTCAGCCTCTTCTGCCAACACCTTAAAGATGTAACTTCAACAAAGTACTAGCATCCACTCCAAGTCGAACTCAATGGAGCCTTTGACTCACCGTTACCGGTCGTGACACGGTACCGCCAGTGTTAATGCGCGTATGGCAGTCGTGCCTCTTGTACGGATTGGCCACATTGAACAATTCGAATGAGCGCAACTGAATCAGATGAGAATAATGCGAAACCAATGAAATGGATAATGAAGTGAGCCTTACTTGATGGTTTTCGTCAAAATAGTGGAATTCGTACATAGCATCATGAGAACGACTGTACTCAATCACGTGTTCGACAGAATCGTCGTTGGCCACATCGTCCAACCAGATCCAATCGTTCGAAACCGTAGCGACAGCCGCCACCGTATCCAACTAAAATTCCCAGTAAGAATCGAAAATGACGAATCTCATATCTCTAATCTTAATCGAAATAACATTTTTTCCCCGTCCCTCTTTCTACACTAGCCGTACCAGCACGAACGGGACTAGAACCGTCATTTAGCCTCCAGTGCGGGAGCCATGAGGACGGTGCGTCCTGTGAGAACATCACAAAAGTTCTTCATGGTTATTGGCTTCTTATCGGTTAGCACGATGAATTTCATAGGTAGGTAAAGGGTGGTGCAGCGAAAGACCACAGGATATGCACAAGGTATGGGAAAATAAGACTCTGGCAATACTTGATGACCATCTTCTCGCTTATGACGTGATAGCTTGGACTGCTCACTCAAGGCAGGGGAGGAGCGGGGGGAGGGGGGTCGTTCGGGACAAGCAACACTTTATGAGAAGGTTTTTTGTATATTGTGGGGACACATGCATGGAATGGAAAACGGAATTCATATTTAATTAACGGTTTCAGAGGTACAGAAAAAACTGGATATTTGTTAACAGTTCAGTACCCCGGGGTGATAGAATTTAGCACTTCAGGATAGCGCTTCAGACCGATGTCAAATGGCGTCAAGTATGGGAACCTGATATCGCATTCGTGATCAGGACCACATGACATCCGTAGGCGCCAGCCTTTGAATGCAGAATTTGTCGCCATGAGAAAGCAAACCCGTACAAAACTTTCACAGCTTTCTAGCCCTGCCAAAACCGTTCACAGAATATAATATGCGTTTGTTTCCCATGCATGGGCCCTACAATATGCAAGAACCTTTTTGAAAATATGCGGCTTGCCCTGGATGGTACCCTTTTAAGTACCGATCGAGAACTAGTTGTCTCATCTCATTCTTCAATCATTCTCAAACATCGTACCTTAACCTTCTTCCTTCGATCGCTTTCTCGAAGAACCTCAAGTTCCTTACGGGCGTCTTCGCTGAGTTCAATGTCTGCATCACGACGTGAACGAATTGATATCTCAGGAACAGGGAGTAAGCATGAGAACCTGAAAACAGCATTGAAATGAATCACGGAGTGTCCCTTCATTCGAATCAACTGATGTTTAGTCCACTTTTCGATTTGGCAACGAGAAAGCGTGATAATTTTACAACTCAACAACTTCTACACGTAAACACCACGCGCGCTCGCTTGATAACAGACAGACTCACATACACCCACAGATTAAATGAAACATCGTTCGCCTCCTTGTCTCTCTTGAGTGCAGCCGGCTCCACATTCACAAGGAAAAACAAAAACAAGTCATCGAGGTGTCGCATAAGCACCCAAAGTGACCTATTCGTCTGTGGTAAAAGAGCAGAATAACATCTGATTGTTTGAAACCAATTCATTCGGAAATCAAAATCAGAGTAATCGAAGGCCTTCAGCCCACTGCTGTAAACACGCACTTACAGATTACGGGAACATGTCTAAGGGTTCAGATCGGTCTGATTTCGGTCTTCAGGAAAGGAATGTTTCCATCAAAAGAATGTTATTCAGCTGCGCTTTCGTAGCGAAACAGGTCATTGCGCGTGCTAGTAATACGATGCTTCGATCCCTTTTATTTTTGATTTGCCTTGTGAATGAGTGGAGGAGACCTGTACTGCGAACAGACAAAGCCAGGCACTGCTCGTTAAACTTTAAAAAAAGCAAAAGATAAAATCCGTCAAAAAACATACCGGCTGTAGCGTAACTGCTGGTACTCCACCTCCATCAGTATAAAATCTATCAAGGACTGTATCTTTACTCTTAGCCACTGGGGAGCCACGACAGCTGAAGCCCATGCTGACATACTGCAAATCTTAGTATTGAATCCAGAAATTTGTTCTTCTAGGTACTTCACTATCTTCAGTTTTACATCACTTTGTTCTAACCTAGAAACAAGAACAATAATAAAAATGTGACTCCAAACATAAAAAGCACGATAAGATACAAGTAGGATCAACAGTAGTAAATATATAAAGCCAAGCAGAAACAACTCACTTTTTACTGAGAATCACGAGCATGTCCCAAGGTAACTTTCCAACACCGAGAGCCATGCGAGCAAGCGAAACATCCGGAACGAAAGCAGGTACTTGAAGTACGACTCTTCTGCGGCAAACGCTTCATCGAAAGCTAAACGATCGCAATTTTAGTACCAACATTACCTAGATAAAGGTTCACCTTCTCAACTACCGCACACTTTCATTATGCTATATACCCCCCCCCCTGAAACTATGTGCTCAATAGTCACTATTCACTAAGAGAAAATTCTCATAAATCTCTGTGTCCCACATTACTATTTTATTAGTGGTTGCCAAGGGATTAAAGACGTGTTTGCTCATGTGAATTAGTTCTATTACTCATTGTAGTAAGGATCAATAGGATGGTGGAACTGGTAAACATTCACATTGAAAAAAAAGAAGTGAAAAAACATACTTCTTGTGAGAAGGGATGGAAATACATCGCTCACAGCAGTATTGTACATATGTTCACTTTCACAGCACGTATCGCACTCTGATTCCATTCTTTTCCTATAAAAAACATCATCATGTTTCTCTTTTATCTGTAACATGGCGCACATTTAGACTCGCTTGCATGCTTGATGGCAAATAGGAAGTTCATCATTTCAATCCACTACTCCTTTGATGTTTATTTTCATTTCCATTCAAAAAATATACAGCACAGGTGCCAAACACATTACTCACTTGCTCATGGTGGCTGTCCTTTTCCGTGGTCTTGGCCCTGTTGGCGAGAGCTGGCGCTCTTCTTGAGGACTGTACAGTTCACCAATTTCGTCTATATTCGTTTGAATAGTCAGACAGCGTATGCACGGCGCCATTGCTAACAAAAAAAAGTTTGCATCGAAAAAATAGCTTAGAATTCATATAGCAAATAGAACGCTACGAACCATTCTTCGTGAGAAATCGTAGGGCATCTTCAAATCCCTGAAGGCACATCTTCGAACAGTCTTCAGTGGATGGCGGCATCAAACATGCCGTTAATCGGAAGAGATTACGCGTAGTGAAGCGGATTGATGTTCTAGAGAAGGAGATGCCGAAGAAGCTAAAAAGGAACATTTTGCCTTTTTCCTTTCCGAGCTGAATAAAATCCCCTAACAATAGATCGACCACGAGTACGGATCTAAATCCCACACTTTCGCTCCACTCTAACGTTATCATACCCTTCAAGGCTCAAAGGTGAGCGACGAAAACTGATAACCTTATCGCATTAGAGCGAAAGTGCAAGTTTATTCTCATAACGCTTACAGTAGATTATAACAGATCCTATTCTAATGTATACACCGCAGTACTGTAGAACTAAGCACATACAGAAATAGCACAGGTGCACGACACCTATGGATAAAAATCAACTCGATGATCGTAGTCTTACCTGGCACTATCCCAATCAGGAGGGCAGATATCAGATTCTCCGGAAAACGGGCTAACTGTAACGGTGTGATCATCATATGAAGGCTGATTATCTGTGAAACCGCCATCAATGTAAGCTTCGCCACGATACGTCGGCGGCACCATTCCACAGTATATGGGAATGAAGCAACTACAGATTATGGCCTGAAATATTTGCCTCGAATAAGAGAGACTAACAAATCTCAAAAGAATGACTGAAAGGAGTAGTGAAAAGAACCACACAAATAGAAAAGGCAGCTCACATCTATCAATTCCTCATTTGAATCAAATTCGGTAACTACCACATTTGCATTGTCTCGCCATCGAGTTAGAGAAATTTGGAGGCGTCCTCTGCACCTGAAATGAGTAGGTTGAATTAAGAAAACTCAAAGAGCGAAATTTGCTATTTTCTTTGCGAAGCAATAACACCTGTCATTGGCCGCAAAGAGTTGCCAGTTGAGCGGCTAAAAACCAGTCCAAAGTCAAAAGCAAGGCCTCAAGCAAGCTCACCTGAGAAATTATCCCACGCAAATTCCAACTGGCAAGGGAAACTCCAACTGGCAAAGGAAAATGACTACTAATTACGGTATGATACGACTGGAACCCTAACACTAAAATCAAGGACTTACAAAAACAAGCGGGAAATATTGTGAAAATGACGTTCATGGGCGAAATTTCGTACAAAGGCATTGCTTGTCACTGCACCTCACGACTTTGGTGAACAAATGGTGCTCAGTTTGTTTCGTTCAAGAAAAGGCTTAGAGAATGTTCATAATCGAAATCACTATCTTTGGTGAAGAGCTAGCAAAACTCACGTTTTATAGGCATCCGGAGGCAGTGTGAGTTCAATTTGTTCACGAGTCACAGCAAGCAAGTTGAAAGCTGGATGTAATGGACCGAGGGCACGTGAACGAGCCTAAAATAATGACAAATAATCTATGGATAATCATGTGAAAAGTATTTGAGCCATCAAATTACTACCTGTGTTACTACTTTCAATATTGTGCTAGTGGCCTGAGATATACAAATATTTGTCATGAGACCAGCTGCTACTATGGCACCTGCAGATGCTCCTGATATCTTGTTTTGAGTAAGTTGTGGTGCATATTCCTGAAATCGTTTACTTCCATTTCGAATCTCGTATCTCTTTCTTTTCTAGAGCTAAGGGCGGAAAATTATTCCGAATAAGGACTTAAACAAAATCGAGCTTATTGGATAAGGCGGATCACATTTGACAGAGCTTACTTTTATTGCTGCTGCAACTCCAGCGTGATATATACATAGGAACCCGCATCCAGAAAAAGATAAATTCATCCGTTCGGGAAAGCTGTTTACCATAGTCATTTTGCCTTCTGTAACATTATATATGTATTCAATGATAAAAACGAAATTATGAAGCCTTTACGATAGACACTCAAACACTGAAAAGACAAAAAGCAACGAGGAACATTCAAATACCAAAATAACGACGTGTAACGAAGGCTAAATCGAAGTCTGATCGATAACGAATAACTGCAAATCCTTTTTTGAGATTATCTTGCTCAACTGCAGCGCAAGCAGCAACTAGTACGACTTCGTTCAGGGCGGTCAATGAATCTTGTATTTCAAACAATTCCACTACCAGTAATAACAGTTATATGGAGTCGAACGATGTTATCCATATTGTTCATAGAAAGTTTCAGTGGAAATCCGATCAATGCGCCATCAAAACTCTCATTGAGAGAAACTCCACATCGATTACGCGATCAATATGTATCTTAACCACTACTGCTAGCATTCTATCAGCGCAGTCAAAAAGTAAAAAAAAATACTAATCAGTGAAACTGGTTAATCGACATTGAAGTGGAGATGTGCGGCTCTTACTGTTGTTTAAGGCTAAGCTTTTTCAAAACCAAAACAAAAGATAAACGTTATCCTACATACATATTTGGAACAGTTAGTCACAGGGAAGAATGCGTTCACAAGCGTCAAATTTCAAGTAACATGAAACACTAGTCATTGATTGGATTGGAAAAGCTTTGCAGAGCAACAGTTTCAGCAGCGGGAAGAGAACAAATGTTCCATTCGTATACATTCATTTAGACAGCTGGGAACTATTGACCACAGAATAGATTTAAAAAAACAGTCAAAACTTAAAGTATGAAGAATGTCAAGCTTCTCCACCTTATATCTCGAAGATAGCAATGTTACAGTGGAACACCTACATTTTTAATAAAAGCACGTCAAGCAGTCCTTTAATCATCTATACACATTCTTCTGTCACCACTGCTGCTATAAATAGAGAACAGAGATCCTTCTCGCGTCAACTAGTTTATTACGTCGTCTTCGATGGCATGAAAACTAACACAGATCTACATTCCAGAACAAAGCTAGCTCATCCTGCAGTCGTCACCAGTAATGAGCGAGCTCTTGAATGAGCAATCTACTTCGCAGACAATAAACTCTTGTGCCGTACTAACGACTGTTGAAATAAATTAGATAAAGATATAGGGCAAATCATCTGTTAAAGGCAGCTCTCGCAACAAGCGGCACCGCTGGATGTGACAGCAGAAAAACATCTATGAAAAAGAACTAAAAACGTTCAAACCCAAGTAGGAACCCTCTATTACCGCTAACGATGAGGTCTTTGGGTGGGTGAAGCTAGACACTGACATCGTGCCGGAGGCGAATAACAAGCATCGCTGCTTCAATGGGAGGTGCGCATACATGTGGCTTCTCTAAAGGAGAAAATACTGTATGACGATTTGATGTAACAGGTGTTCTATCTTAACAGAATTTGCCAAATCGTGTTATTAGGTCCTTCACCCATGTCGTCCAAATGGGTGAGGTGTTGTGGAGTGGCCGCGGAAGGTTTCGAAATGGCTGTTCGGGGTTAAAGCAACAGTTTTCCCAGCAGTAAGTTGTGTTACGGGCTCTCGTTTTTTGTTTATAGGTTCCCAAACGCCGACCCAAATTCTATTTGTCGTCTGCATCCGATTCCCACTTCGGAGCTGCTTCAGCCGCCTAGATCGAAGAAAAAGGAAGGTGTGCTCAACAAAAAACTCACCTTGTAGCAAAGGCCGGAACGGAGGGAATGGGTCGAGGGGATTGCAGTCTTTCTGACCACCCCACCCTGCTAGAACTGTTGGTTTGACATGCCGCTGATGGCGCGCCTTCTGCAGAGGCAAAGCGGACTACAGTCTGCTTGGACACTTCTGCCCTACCCACGACCCATCTTTTTCGTTCATGAAAATTTTGTTCACTGGGATTTCCTTCAAGGATCTCCTACACCGCGTTGGCAGCGAAACATTTGAAATCAAATAACCACGTCATAAACCGGTGACGAATCTTTAAATAGCGGAGGGAAGCCAAGATGTAGATTTCTGCGAGAGAGAGCAGAGAAACCATCCGGCGTCGTTGCGATTTCTATCACATACATTCCACAACAAAGTATGTGTTACTTAAACAAAACGGGGATGGTGGTTAGCCGCCAAAACACAGAGATTGATCACGGCATTGAACGAAACCCTGACTTCGCTCTGCTACAAATGCAAGATTTAGAAGGAAACTGATCAACACTTAAAACTGCAACGAGTAGAAGAAACCAGCATGTCGCTGATGATTCACGTTACATCAATGAGGTACATCGGGACTTCACACAGAAGTGCTCTTGGTTTGCGTGGCATTTGGCTTCACAAAGAAACGCTAACAGAATTTACTTATGAAACGAATGCAAATAATGTTCTTCCCAGATCAATATTAGTGTTCGGAAATGCATTTCGTTACTGAGAAACTGGAAAATTGAAATATAACAAAAGTGAGGGTATAGAGGACATGCTTGATGTTTAGCATTTACGATGGCAGAGATGTCGTGTTCAATCTAGAACGGAGCTATTACTAACTACAGAACTCTACGCGGTGCAGGAAGAAGAACGGCGTTCCCCACTCTTAGAGCAGCCTGATAGAAAACCACAAACAATTCTTCAATCTAAGCATCGCGGAACAATAGCTATCTTATCACCGACATTGAAAGGAAATAGGGGAGAGCCCTATCGATGGTCACTGAACAGTTAAAAGGAATGACTGAAACTGCATGGTTAACTCACCGCAGATGCCAATCAATCACAAGGACTCAAAACTAGGAAACACACTCGATGACTCAGATCGCGAGGTGAATTGCCACTACAGCCGTAAGTGCCTTCCCACTTAAACTTTTCCTTCCTGAACTGATCATATAACTAGACCAGAAATATGATACATGAACGTTCTCATGACTAAGCCACCGAGAAAACCAGTAAATCATGAATGACATGCAGAGACACAGCGAGATAAATGAAGGTGAATCGCTTTGCAGCGAACATTTTAACCAGTCATCCGTCAAAGAAAAAAGTTTACGAGGTCAAAGTACCAAGTTCTGAACAGAGTACCAAGAACATTTAGCAGCGTTTTACAACGAAATGCAGATAGCAAGATAATTTGAGCAGCGAACACTAGAATACGATCGAACGAACGGGATGAAGAAAGGCGTAGGTCAGCAAGGGCGATGAATTAAGAAGGCAATAAAAACAGTAAAACATTGGAATAGAGATTGAAACCAACATCTCATAAAAATCCAAATCAGAGGTTACAAGTTCCTGTCCATAACGTCCGAACCACTACTCCTTGCTTTAGAGCAGACATACATAATAGGATTTAAAATAACTTATTTATATAACTTCGTATAATGTATGTTATACGAATGTTCCCATCACTTGTAAGTGTAGTTCTTTGCAAATTTCTGGTTTTATCACAACGGAAGTATCAGGGGTCAATTTGTGGTCGCGCGATGTCACGCCATTCTTTCATCGGCGACATTCCCGTCCATCTTTTCAATGGGGATGGGCGACGTGATCCCATCAGTCTGGCTGAACGATAGCCCATCTGTCCTATCATCGCATTAGCTTTAGGTCTCAAGCAAATATTTGCATGCCTGTCGCATCCCTACGTTCTGGAAATGAATCCCTGAATGGATGTGGCTTTAGTTATTTGGAAGCCTTCTGTTCTACAATTA